AGGAAATCCTACCATGTGTAACAACATGGATGGACCTGGAAGACATTATGCTAATGTTAGCGTAATGTTGGCCAGACACACAGGACAAATAATGTATGATTTTACTTTTATGAGGTACTTAAAATAGCCAGACTTACAGAAGAAGCAAATAGAATGGCAGGTGATGGGGGAAGGGGGAAATAAGAACTCGTTCAGCGGGTATAAAGTTACAAGTGTACAAGATGAGTAAGTTCAAAGAGATATGCTGTACAACATAGTACCTATAACAATACAACACTGTGCACTTAAAAATGTATGAAGAGGGTAGGTGTCATGTTAAATATTCTTACCACAAAACAGAAACTAAGACAAAAAAATGAATGGACATAAGGAAACTTTTGAAGATGATCAATATGCTTAAACTGTGTCCGTAGTGTAGTGGTTATCATGTTCGCCTAACAATATGCTTAAACCTTGATTATGATGATGGTATCATGGGTGTATGGACATGTTTAAACTTATCAAATTGTATATATTAAACATGTACAATTTTTGTCTATCAATTATATTTCAACAAAGTTGTAAAGAAATACTCTATTAAGTACTGGGAAAAGAAATGATTAAGACTTAGTGCCTTCTTGCATAGAGCAAGCTGGATAGATACTGAGTAGTTTTAATAAAGCCTGTATCTATTAGAGTCATGTTGCATAAATGAGCATTTCATTGAGGTCATACCAGTCTCTCCAAGAAGAATAATATTTTTAAGATGATTTTTGGAGTCATGTAACATTTGCTGCAAAAAAATACATTCATAAATTTAAGTGTTAATGTCATATACCCTTTGATATATGCAATGAGGTTTGGGATGCTTAAAAATAAGTGTTTGTAGTTTATGTTTATGGTAATTTCATGGGAACACAGAAAGGATCCTAATGTATTAAGCAAACATTCCACAACTAATTAGGCCATTTACTCCTCAGTCCACTTCTCCTCTAAACTGAAAGGACAGAGGCTTCTGGCTAAGAGATTCTGACCCCACAGGCGACAGGGAGAGTCTGTCTTCCTCAAGGCTCAGTTGTAAGCCTGTCTCAGGCACCCTCAAGCTTCTTCCGGAACTCAGTTCACTCCACAAGCCCACAAACAAGGCGACAAGCTGACAGGAACTAAGCCAGGATTCTTGGCCTTCTATTCTGTTTCATGAGCCAAAGGGAAAGGAGGCCACCTTCCGAGGTCCAGCCAGCTAGGAATTAAGCCTCCTCCTCCCCTCTTCCTTTACCCTTGCCAGACAGCCTGTGGACAGCCTTCTCAGGCTTCCGGCACTCCTGGCCAGCTGGGAAAGGAACGGCCTTTCCAGACCCTGTGAGCTCGCCAATAAGCCCTTTTTTTTTTTTCCCCCACTCGAGAGCCAGAATTGGGAGATTACAAAGCCACTGTCACAAAATGGTCACTAATAGAGGTTTTAAGGGACCAAGAGGAAGAAAGAGTTTCTGGGTCAAAGAAAAAGAAAGAAACTGGAGAGTTTCTAGCAGTGTAGTCATGGTTTTCCATAGTCTGCTGATAATCAGAGAAAACCTTTTCCTTCCAAAGGACCCCAGGCAGGATGGAAGACGTGTCTCTGAAATCTCTGTTCAGAGTCGTATTTCATTAGTTTTATGAGCAGCTTTCTTTTTGAGCATTAATCCCTATTCTCTAATGCATGAAAATTTTAAGTTGATACTTTATGAAGAGGTGTAAACATTGGTACCAAATGATCCCTGTTTCACATGCAGACTTCCTGGGGACCTGGTGGGAAAGCAGCTAGAGATAGTCACTGGTTCAGACTGTGTTAATGTGCATCAGGGGACTCAGGCATGATTGTCTGATTTGACTTGTGATTAGATCTTTTCCAAGGCTGGCCTTGGTGAGTCTTGGCCCAGGAACCTCCCTGGCCCAGCAACAGACCTCTCTCAAGTAGTGCTGAATCTCTGATACAGTGTGGTATTATTCAGGGTCCACTGGGCTCTGTAAATTCCAAATCTTCTCCAGGGCCAGGTTTGGACTGGAACCAAAGCTGCCTCTACAGTGGCCAAGGGGAAATGGCCAGTGAGGAACAGGAAATGCAAAGTCGTGTGGCTCAAGTGAGACCACCATACCTTTCCATGGAGGACTGAATGTCTGTCCCCTCCTCTCACCATTGTCCATATTCCCAAGCCACCAACAATATTAGCAAACTAATTTTGCCTCAGGCTGACCCTGGAGAAAAGGCACTGTCTGAATCTCTTTTTCCTAGGAAAGTTGCCATGAGTCTTATGGGAACTGAACAGTACTAACTTTATTTACTTACACTTTCTAAGGCTAGGACCTACACAAGGAGAAAATGTACTCTTAAGCTCTCCCTCCAGAACAATGCATCTACTTACTCCATGTCTGCATAAGTATAAGCAACCAGGCAAGTAGTTCTTGATGAAACAAAAGCAAATTCAACCTTACAAGTGAACTGATCTTCTAACTTAAACTTCAGAATCCAGTTCCAATAATCAAATCAATATTTTCTAGCTTCAAAAATTTTAAAATCCAGTCTTCGCCTATCAGTCCTTTATATACATGTCTCATTTAATCTTCTGTACAACTTTATTATATCAATGCTATTCATAGTTTTTAGACGAGGTTGCTGAAACTGAGGAGAAATCAAGTAACAGTATCAGTGTCACACAGATTATAAAAGATGGACTCCACTTGTCTTTGGCCACAAAGCTCCTTTTCTTCCACCATCCACATTCTTCCAGTACAGTCCTAGGGCCAATTCGGATGAAGAGGGATAGCGTAGTTGGAAAACAGGCCTCTTCTATCATCCTCACTATCTCTTCCATGTTTACTTTAACTGTTTTACACATTGAGTTTTCATAAAAGATTTTCCTTGAAGGTAAGAAAAATTGGGACAAAGAATACTATACCATTTGTCCTCCTATTTCAGACTTCCTATTGAGGAAAATATAGGAGCTAAGACAGCGATATTTGACTGATGCAGTATCTTCTAAGGATATAATTTCTGAGTGATCCTGTGACACAATAATTGGTTATCATGTTAACCTACTAGACAATCAGAGATGATATTCTAAACTCCCTGGTGGCCCAAATTTTTTCTCATAGACCAAAATATTAATTAAGGTAAATTAGTATGAAAGCATTTCAGACTCTTTTAATATCTTTTACATTTGGGAGAAAATATCAAATTCCCTCTCTACTTGCCAATTTGGAAAGGATAGGCTATGGACAAGTAGGACAAGTGACCCTCTAATACGAATACTGCCTCTAGTTAAACTAAAAGAGTATGGGTAATACATGTCATCTCCTGGGTTATGATTTTTGAAAATGCCTTCTGTCATTAACATTTCCTGATTTCTCTGCATAATAGTGAATACCAAATGCATAGCATGCTAGAACCGCCCCCCTCCTGTCTATTCTAGTTGTACTTTGACACCTTTAAGGATGGAAGACACAATGCCAAGGTATGTGGCCTCAAAACTTAGCTGTTGCAAGTGGTTCTTGATCAGTTACAACTGCCTTCTGGCTTCTCCTTGATCTCACTTAGCCTTGCTTTCCAATGATAAAGTATGTATGTCTCTTCTCTCCTCTCGTTCTCCTCCTTCTCTCTCTCCCTTTCTGTGTATGTAGTATGCAGGGGTGGTATGTGTGTGTGAGAGAGAGAGAGAGAGGCAGACCTCTGATCAACTGAAGTTAGTATATTATAGGAATGATCTCCCTTTCTCCTGATTTATCACCCTCAGATGTGTTTATCAGGGACTTTTCTTAACAGCTATGTCCCTTCTCCAGAAAGACACTTCCATAATAAATACAAAGGACACAATCAAAGCAGCTTACTTTGGTTGGCTAGCTCTTCCCATTAGGCCCACTCCTCAATCTGGCTCAAAAATCAGGTCAAAATTTTCTGTCTGCCAGGCTGCTCTCTACTGCCATCCCATGGTGAGCCACATTTTTTCTTTGAATTAACCTCTCGGTACAGATCCTCCTAGACAAAGTAGACAAATTGTGAAAGGTCCTCTCCAACAGAAGAGCAGTCTTTACAACAGATTGCTTAGACATAAGTTGAAAATAACTACGGAATTACTGAGTGAGTTATAGTTTTACCAAGGAGTATATCAGCACCTGATTTGAGAAATGAGAAAACGTGATGTAGGAAAAGGGGAATCCTGGAGAAGCAGCAAACTGAAAAATACTAGAAACTCGGAGATACATTTGTGGAACCAAGAGACTTAAAATTTCACCAAGAGTCAGTAATGACTTCAACACAATCACTAGGATAGCCTGCTGGTGTCTCACAGTGTCTGTGCAGAAGTTCACGATTATCATAGTATTCATCCAGTCACTCCATACCTCTGTCACTGTTCGGACAGAACTCCTTACCGCTCTGACCCTGTTCCCTCAAATATTCATGGGGCAAAATAGTCACATGTCCCAGTCAATTAACAGACTTTCTTTCATACTTGTTTTCTTCTTCTCCTATCACTTGGTCAAAATCAGTAGTATTTTGCTCTATACACATCATATGACTCGCCTTGCTCTAGCAACTGGCTGCCAGACATGGTCATTACAGTATATATATTTAGTTCCTGAAAACATAACTTTACATTGATTAAAATTTTGAAATAACTCCATAAAGCCTTTTTGGTATGCGGCATACAGCAAACTGACCCAGACTGTTATTCAAACGGTATGCTTAAAGCAGTGCTTTTACTATTTGTCTTCATTCTCCTTCTATTGTGTTTTTTCTAAACTGGCAAAGAGGGTTTAAAAATCATAATAAAACTTGAATTTTGATCTATACCAAATCAAGACACCAATCTGAAACGCTAACCGAACCTGACTACTTAGTTGAGTGTGTCTAGAGCCAGTATGAGGCAAACGTCCAGCAAAATGACACATAATTCCCTAAGAAGAATGAGCCTTCCAAATTCAAGCTTAATCAAATCACAGTATCATTCCATGTGGAAGACACAGAATTACAGAAGACCATGCCTTACTGTTGGGAGCCTGGGTCTTCCTTAGGATTTCAGGCTGTCAATCTGTGGCGAAGTGATCCAGGACTCTGCATTCAACAGTAAATAGAAAAGAAAATGAACAAAAAGATATCAGGATGGCAACAAACGTGGCGAAAGTGCACTGCTTACAGATTACTAAGGAAATAGAAAACAAACTGGAATTAGGTTCATAATCCCTCCTTAAGCAATACTAGACTTCAAAAAATATATATATTTCTCCACACAGAGCCACTATGTAAGCCAGTAGTTTCATACAGGGTCTTAGAAACTATGCTATGTGGTTACTGAAGGTAATAAGACCATGTTAGGAGGACCAGGATAAGGAATGAAATAATGCCAAGGCACTTATGACAACATTATTTCCTTCTCAGTATTTCTGATGAGTTCAAGGAAAAAGTTTTAGCTTCGGTAAAGTGTGTCTATAATCTTTGTTAATCACTCTTTTAAACTAACCTAGGTCCTGGCAGACCACAAGATAGTGTTAGAATTAATTAATCCAGTTTCCATTGTATTCATGGCTCATATTTATTATAAGCCATAGGAATAGCTATTTACCTACTTAGAGAGAAAGTGTTTTCTTTTAAAATGATTTTAAATTTAAGAGTGTGTCAATTTAAGGAAAATCTGAAGTAAATAATAGTGCTTTTGATATACCAACACAGGAAAAATCATGAAGGCAATAAGTAGGTGACTAAGTTTGTGTAACTCTATTTATTTATTTATTTATTTTTATTTTAAAAAAGATTTTATTTATTTATTTGACAGAGAGAGACACAGTGAGAGAGGGAACAGAAGCACATGGAATAGGAGAGGAACAAGCAGCTTCATGCTGAGCAGGGACCCGATGCGGGGCTGGATCCCAGGACCTGGGATCATAACCTGAGCTGAAGGCAGACACTTAACACTTAACAACTGAGCGCCCCTATAACTTTATTTATATAAATAAGAAAGGTTAAGTATCGATGGGAGACTGGAAGCTACATCATGATAGTCAAGTATTTCTATATCAAACTATCTCTAATATCTGGTACAGTACATGGCATAAAAGGTATTTGATAAATATTTTCAAAAATAAATAAATAACTAGCTTCTGGAGAATCTGGAAGATGTTTGGATGTCTGAGTTGCTCGTATGCATGGAGCAGGCTTTACCCATCACTGTAAATCTAACACCTACTACAGGTCCTTGATCTAATAGGACTCCACAAATACTTATAAATATATAACTGAACAGGCTTAAGTATCTTGATTTTTTAAAATTCTCAGAAAAAATTCAAAACATAAAGACCATATCTTTCTTACTACCACTCCCACCAAAAAAAAAAAAAAAAAAAATGCTTTGGAGCAATATTTCCAAAAGTCTTTGAGTTTTGACAATGGTGTTCCAAGGTTGGGGGGAATCTCCTTGAGGTTCAGAAAATAAGAGGGTGTGCTACTGTAGATAATTTTAGAAAAACAATAATATATCCAACAAAAAGTTGACTTACTTTTTATCATTGCCATGCATTGACCATTCTCAACCAAGTCAGTAATACAATATTTCCCACCTGGCAGATAGCTCCCCTGCCTCCTACCTGGCACACCACAGATTTCAAAAAAGTTGGGCTCTTTACCTAAACTAACAAATTAGGGTGATAAGGAATTTGGCAATGACAAACTTTCTGAACCCAGAGACCTCAAGAGTTCAAGCAAGGGTGGACGGAAAGGGAAATCTAGGAAAGCTATCATATCCTAAAGAAAATTCTAAGGCAACCCAGACAGAGTAGCAGAAGGGGTTTATTTGGGAATCATCCTAAATGGCTTTCCAGTGTGTTGGTGAAGGTAAATGGATAGAGCCCAGGGACAGAACTACTTCCTCTGGCCTGAGTGTCTACCAGCTATGGGACAATTTTTAACCATGCCATTCAAACCTTGAATACTGGATAATGGTAACGGTTCTGTGCTTTCTTTGGTATCATTGCTATAGACGATAACCAAGAAGGCATTACTTTGATACCTGCGTAGCCTATCAACTTCAAATAATACAAAACTATGGGTTTGGATCAGTAAGTGGTCTTACAGAAAGTCTTGAGGTAGCTTGATACCTTCCTCTTGCTCTGGACTTGCTCCCCATAATCCAGCTCATTTCATATCTAATGTTAACTCTTCTAAGGTTATCATCTAGGCTGGATGTGGGCCTTGCTGAGTTATCTCCCTTCTCTGATCCCAGCATTCATTCACTTAGACTGAGGACATGAATCTGATAATTCTTGCTTCTCACTGCCTGGTTCCTGGCTGAGGTAGGACTCAGGGTTTAAGCCACTGTCTTCAGAACATCTTTTTTCCTGTTCAGTTACAAAGGTTGATGCAGTCTCTACTTCTCAACCAAATCTGGTATCATGAGAAAGCCCCAGTGATGGAAATCACTGTCAGCTGTACCCAATTTTTCAACAATGAAGAAACACAGATATGAATAGCATACATATACATACACATACACATATATATGGGTACATGTAGATATATACATAGTGTCACATATGATTTAAATTAGAAAGGAGGCTGAAGTTGCTGATTTCCTTGATTATATTCTTTTTTTTAAGATTTTATTTATTTATTTGACAGAGATCACAAGTAGGCAGAGAGGCAGACAGAGAGAGGGGAAGGGAAGCAGGCTCCCTGCTGAGCAGAGAGCCCGATGTGGGGCTTGATCCCAGGATCCTGGGATCATGACCTGAGCCGTAGGCAGAGGCTTTAACCCACTGAGTCACCCAGGCACCCCGCCTTGATTATATTCTTTTTCCAACAAGAAGACAGGTCTAATGCAGCAAGTGAGGGACAGTGAAGGAAAAAAAAAAAAAAAAACATTATTTACATAACATATGTACTAGCCTGTGCTTCACCAAGTACTGTTACATAAACTATCTCATCTAAATCTCCTTAACAACATTGCTGATATTATTATTTCTCATACTAGAGATGAGGAAAAACACTAAGGCCCATAGAAACAAAGAAACTTTTCCCAGATCACATAGCAAGTAGGGGAAGGAGTTCAAACCTATCTTCTTTCTGCCGGCTGCCTTAGTAGACACATCTACTAATGACACCCATGCTTTTGGATTAGGTCCTACAAAAACCCATAATGATAAAGAATTCTATCAATTTTCTCTTAACATCCTATCAGGGAAAGAAAAGAGACAATGTTCTAATGTGAAGCAAAATGCCAAGATGTGTAAAAGGGATGTGATGAAGGTAGAGAAACAATCTCACTCCCATTTCCCACATACCTAGATCAAGTCTTACAAGTTTTTCCCTAATTAAACAGCCTTTTTTATTCTTCCATCCCTTCCTCTACTTCTCAGTCGGCCATTTAACTAACATTTTCAAGTTGTTTTTTTCCCACAAATTTGCCAGCCTTCTTGCATTTTCAGCCTTCACGTGTTTAATGAGAACACACTGGGTATAAGGCCTTATGTCAATCCATCTACTATAGGTTGCATTTTCTAGCAAGCATTAGCATAAATACCAACATGTTTACATCATAATTACTTTAATTCCCTTGGCCCTTACTAGACCTGGAGTGTGTCATTCCACAGTGATTTCAGGGGTAAGAGATGATTATTGGTCCATGAAACAAAAATTACAATGAATGCTTGGAAACTTGGCACACTGCTTCTGAAATGATCCCAACTTTGCAACAGGTTTTTGCTGCATAATGCTTTTATATTGATGTGAGCAAGTCACTATTTTCTAGGTCTTTAGGTTCTCATGTATAAAATAAGGATCAAAATTACTGTCTTTACCTTTTCTCCATGAATAGTTGCCAAACTGAACATTTTGGCATCTGAAAGTTATTTTAAAAAAAACAAAACAAAACAAAACATGTTTTTCCCTGGAGAAAATCACTAGGTAAATATTATTATAGAATTAGCAAGATCCTTTCCTGGGTTTACAACTTAAAAGTTAGAGACCTTTCCTTATTATAGGTAAAAGAGTTTAGCACAACTAGCAATGTTGCAAAGCAAGTGTCTAGGAAGTAAGAATTTTAAATGGCATGTGAACAATTACTTATTACATAATTACATATGAATGTACAAAGGTCTATATTTGGGGCTTACTATTAATAACCAGATAATTAACAGTAGTAGAGATTGAAGTCAGAAGTCAGAGGCCCATTTTTTTTAAAGACTTTATTTGTTTATTTGACAGAGAGAATAAGAGACAGCAGAGCAGCAGAGGGATAAAGAGAAACAGGCTCCCCACTGAGCAGGGAGCCCAATGTGGGACTCGATCCCAGGACCCAATTCCAGGACCCTGGGATCATGACTTGAGCTGAAGGCAGTTGCTTAACCAACTGAGCCACCCAGGCATCAGAGGCCCAGTTTAAGTGACTGCAATTTTATGAGGGATATTTCCATTTTTTGTATAGAATAGAGATTTATATATTCACTAGTAAAAATGTATTTATTGACTAATGAATGCAAAAGCACCGTGGGTATAGGATAGAAAAAGTCTTATATTTATTGAGCACCTATCATATTGTAGATGCTGTCCAAAGTGCCTTTACTTGTGTGTTTGTGAGTGGTGGAGGTAGAAGAATGAGAAGGAGAGAAGGTGTAAGAGAAAGAGAGGAATGGAGTATTCTAGCCGGAGTCTTAGCTCTATCCATCATTGGGTTCATACATGTCCAGCAAACTTGTGACATTATCTGTCTATTTGCACAATGGAGATAAGAACCCCTTAAGAGTAGAATTCAGACAAACTGGCTTAGTCCATGACAGTACGTTGTTTGTTAATGGGGTATGACAATCCGTGGTACTGCTCCCTTGAGTTGTGTCTTGACCTAACTGTACATGGACTCATATATATGGTACTTGTCTATTAAAGAGGTATTTAAATTAAATCAGAGAAAGAGAAGGAAGCTCCATTTGGGCAAGGGTGCAGGGTGGTTTGTGCGCATGCAAGACTACGAGGAACACAGTCAACTTTGGCACCTTGAGAGTTGAGTAACCTGGCTACACCACAGTGGCGGCACCTAGTCTCCATGGTAGCATACCCGCAGCTCCTCA